CAAGTCATCATCAATATCCGTAAATGTCTGTGGTATTATTACCCATCCAAAGCCGAATATACATTTATTGTGCTTTCTTGACAACAAATGTTATAATTGGGATAATTGGGGTACTTTTTAGGTTGAGTCCCGTCCGGGATTTGAACCTACAATGTGAGTAAGGCACCCAATCGCCAGCACACAAAGTCAGCGATCTAACCCAGCCACCGAGGCTTCCGACAACTGTTAGTCCAGATCACGTGTTTTGGCACGGCGCCCATGGCCGAAAGCTTTGAACACACAATGCCATTAAGAAATTGGTCAACTGTAACAAATGTTATATTTGGATAACACTTTCTCAGTAACGTACAGATTCTCGTACTTATTAGGGTTGAGATAATAGACGTTGATGGTTGATTATCAATGGACAAATTAAAGCCAAAACCTTTCTTATGAATGATTGGTACTGGGCAATGGACAATGGGCAAACGGGAGACCAGGGTAATTAGCGCCAATTATCTGTTGGCTTCCCTTGTTACGTTTCCTCCTTTGCTATCTCTTTTCTTTTGTTGTTCTTACAGGTACATATATACTCTTCAAAAAAAGAAACTTAACACTGACTTTCAAAATGTAATATAATGCGATTGTTTCAAAATAGGACACAGAAACCATAATTGAAACACTGTTTGAAGATCAATGTACACAATGTTCAAAATATTAATCGTGTCACCTAGACAGACACACGTACACGATACAGTTAATGTCACAGGGGTACAGAAAAGGTTAGTATCGGTTGTGCCCATCACGTGCATCAATCACCGCTTGACACCGACAACCCATAGATGCAATCAAGTTGTCAATAACACGCTGTTGGATGTGCTGCCATTCATGCTGAAGTGCATCAAGAAGCGTTTGGGGCGGTGGATTCCTTCTGCGAGCGCGTCGATCCAACTCGTCCCACAGATGCTCAATCGGGTACAAATCTGGTGACCGGGCTGGCCAAGGTAATGTCTGGATGTTGTTGTGCTGTAAGAAGTCCTGACAAACACGTGCAATATGCGGTCGAGCGTTGTCCTGCTGGAACTTTCCGCCATGGACGTTGACGTGAAGAAGAACGTAAGGCTGTAGGAAGTCTCTGTAACGCACACCTGTCAATGCACCTTCCACATGCACGAGAGGCGTCCTACCAACGTGATGAATTCTGGCCCATACCATGACACTCCCGCCGCCAAATGGGACAACCTGCTGCACACAGTTTGGGGCGTAACGTTCACCCCGACGTCTGTAGACACGTGCGTGCCCATCAGCACGTGTGGGAAGGAAACGGGACTCGTCAGTAAACAGTACATTTCTCCACCTTGCACGTGCCCATCTAACTCTCTGTTGGCACCAAAGCAGACGATCCGTCAGATGACGTGGGGTCAATACATGACGTCGAACAGGATATGCACACTTTCTGACAGTAATGTGTGATAAGTCGTGCACCAAAGATATACTCTCGATATACATGTTGCTCTTACTTAAAAAAAACTATTGGGCTAGCAAGATACGTATATTAAACTGCCATGCTTTCCTGATGTGCTATCATTCTAATTTGAAATAGTGACATAAATAGTTAGCACTCATCCATCAATATTTCTCAAGGCCGGGTTAATCACTAACATATTTGAATATATGCAACAGCTATACTAACTTATCTATATCTTTAAAAGCATTGGGTTTGTCTGTCATACAGACTCCGAAACAAATATATCCAATACAGCCCAAAATTTGGCAAAATGAAGAAAGTCTCTTGGCTCCTTTTTATTATATTTTATAACTATTGTTTAACAACTGGGTTTTTTTCTGTAAAATATGTTCATTTCAGAGATTAGATGTTATTCTATCATCAGGTCTGTGGTACGTTCATTGCATCAGCGTTGACACTAAAATGATATTTACATATATAAATACATACAGAGGAAATGCTTAGCATTTATCTTTTAAGGTAGAATGTGGGACTTGCTTAATACATATATATGTGGACATATATATATGGATATTTGGATGAATATAGATATACCTCCTTTTTATAGCGAACCCAATCGTTCATTCCAGGTCATTTTGTTAACATTTTGCAATCGGTATCTGAAGTGTTGGCCTTGATGTTTTAGTATCACACGTTTAAGCGTGAAATATATTTTAATTGTATACATAACCATACGTTTGCCGAATTATCAACGAAGTACTTCATATTTCATCGATGCGATCGATGTTGCCCTAGACTCACCGAATACTGCATTGTGTTCTGACGTAGACATCACCTTGGCAATACAGTTCTTCATGGAATTTTCCCCGTTATCTTCCATAGTGTCAATTCGTGTTCAGATGAAGACTGAACAAATGTTGGTATTCTAACAATTGTTACGTGTCGAATTGAAACAATATGTTAACTCAGAAATATGTAAGTAAAAGAACCTAGTGTGAAACCAACAACCGACCAACAAATGGTACACAATTAACAAATGTATTACAAATTACTAGGTTTACTAATCAATACAAATTACTGCACAGCAATTACAATGGCAGTACATCATAGATTAGTAGTACAATATTCGATGGCAATATATAATATGGTGGCAGTGGTCAGTATCAAAAACAGAAAATACAGTGTTGATAACAAAGATCAGTGATAATAATATATATTCACCCAGCGACGACAGTGGTCAAGTTTCCGATATTGCCTGGGCAGGGACTCAGGGACGACGAGCGATCCTCACATGAAAGCTGGTACCGAAACGATGAAATGCCGGAGAGAAGAAATGTGTAAGAGATACGTAAAACACGCTATTGTCCTCTAATATACAACCTACCCAGCAACTGGAATGTTCCCGACAGTGCGCTCACCAGTTCATCGGCACTAGAACATTCTCTATGTTTCTATAACACACTTTCACTGTCCTCAGTATACAGGACCGGAAGTTTACACACCACACTAGCATCAAATATAGAAACTTCCTGACGACTGATCACTGCCCAAACACAATGCAATGAGCGTCTTCAGAATCTCAACAGAAACAATGTAACACAGTCACATCATTGTCCAACAACAAAATACACTGCCATATAACACAATCACCACAAAACATGTTATAGTTTAAGTAAATGGTCGTTTGTTATACCTGCGTAGACTGCAAGGTGACAGTCAAATACATTCTTGTGTAGTTCTTAACAGACATTTCTCTATTACTGTAGAGCATTTATATACATCTTTTCGAAGAACTAGTTGTTTCAGGGATGCAGTTGGTTGTTGTATGGCTGTCAGTGTAAATATGAGGACACATGTACCAAATGAAATTGTATGTACATCCTTCGAGGTACAGAATAGGGATATAAAAAATGTAAGGACACCATAAAGATTCATACTCAAATGGACTCACACAAAGTGAAAATCAAATTCTTATTATCCATAACGCCAAAAACTGTATCCGTTGATACAGGACAGAAACAGATAAAGGTGTGAAATAAGAAAGGTCAGGTAGGTACTACTTTCAGTGTTTACAAATCATGGCGTCGCCCTTGTCAATCGGCGATCTTGAATCCGGAGAAACTACCAGGATAATTGTTTTCATTATCAAAGCAATAGCCTCAGATACTGAAGATTAGTGTCCAACTGGGCAACTTGGTAACTTGGCAACTTTGGAGATATAAATCGTGAAACAATTCAGCGAGGTCACTAGCCTCGCAGGATCAGTTTCCATATCTGTGTTGGTAGACCTCTGCCGCTTGGGGCCTTTTCCCCAATTTAAAAAAGTAGGATTCGGCTGAAATATGTCGGAATTGTTACCTTGTTTCATTTACTCGCTGTGTGTACATCTGACTTTGCACTTTGTAAAGTTGTGATAAGACTCCAAACAAACAAACTCTAAACAGTCTCATAGACCAGGATTAGAGTGGCTTCTCAAGGGGCAGTTACTCAAGAGGGCGGGCGGACCGATGGATTGCCGCGAAAGACAAGTAGAAACAATATGTTTAGGCAATTGTTCTTTTGCATATATGTAGTAAGCCACTGTCTGAGAAACAGGTTTGAGTTGGAACTTTATTGACTGTTGTCAGTGTCGAGTGTCCGGCCGACCTTCTGTGGTAATAAATATTCATGCACAGGAAAACTTGCAATGTTAAGGTAATGTTTATGAAAGATAAGAACAGGAGTTTCGACGACAGAAGTTTTAACAATGCCATTATATGATAAGGAGGTTATCAAGCTTGTGTGTTTTGGGATAGTAAGTATCCTGTGTTAGGAATAAACATGGTATTAAGCGAGCCTTTTCGTGATAACCTCTATGTAATTTTATGGATACAGTTCAAAGTGAATTCAATGTGCACCATGTATTGGTTTCAACGTTACATTTTAAGCGGTTAAGATTGTAACAGCCATTTCCAGCTGCCTATGAGGATTGGGATATGGAACAGAAGTTAATCCAACGTTGGGCCGACGTTACTCTGCCAACGTTTCCCAAACGGTTTGTCAACGTTTTACAGCTAACCGTTCGGCCGACGTTGAAAACCTGTTGTGCTAACATGGGGCCGATGTCTCAGTGCAAGCTGAGGAGATACATGTGATATAACATATGTGTCGTTAACATTAGCAACAAATGTATTGTCGCAGATATCAAAAGCCTCCTGTTATATTTTTAGAAAGAAAACAGAGACGTAATTGTAACAGTTGTATATTAAATTATTAAATCCGTATAATTAAAACGGAGTACCGTGGGGTGATGTTGTGTATATCTGTCCGAGAAAGTTAATCGATTCATCAGACAGCATATGGGATGTAGGAACCGATTTACTGATTGCTGTTCAAACTAACTCTTTAATTTGATATATCCTTATGTCGAATACTTTCATAGTGAGAAAAGAATATTGGTAAAATATGTTTGGGTCATTTATCTCAAATTAACGTTTGGTTACAAATAAAATCAAAACATTTACTCATGTTAGCTTTATATCATGCAAGGTTATCTGTTCTTCTTGTCTTTCAGGTTCCTGTGCACTACCGAAAGGTCGGGAATTTGTTGCAGCATTTCCTGAGATGTATTACCAAGGTTTTTTTCCTGAAATCAGCTTCGTGATTCTGTCTGACGTCAATACAACCGTGCACATTGAAAGCAAAGGCTTTAACATCTCTGAGGATGTGGACGTTCAGGCAATGGTTGAACACAGATACAGCGCGGATTCTCTTTTCTACTACAAGGCAAATCTTGAAGTTACAGATATGACATTCTCTGTATCCTCTGGAACGGATATTACCCTTTTCTGCTACAATGCCATGGTTCACAGAGGAGATGGATACGTTGCTTTGCCAATTATTGATTTAGCTACCAAATATATCGTTGTTACACACATCGACAATCACACATCTAACACAGCTGATATTAATTTACCATATACTGGGCAATCACATACAGTCTTACTCATCGTCGCTACCGAGGATGCTACCCAGGTTGACGTCAGCTTAAACATAAAAGGACCACTAATGGCTGGTGGGTGTGGCGGCGGGACATTTTTCAATGGGGAAACAAGAACATTTACACTCAACAAATATCAGATTGTAGGCGCCTACTGTTCTGAGGATATCACTGGGACACTGGTTACCAGTGATAAACCTGTGGCAGTACTTAGTGGACATAATACGAAGAGATTCTCGGGCAGCAGTAACCTCCTATTAGAAATGTTGCTGCCAGTGAAATCGTTTGGACGAAGTTTTGTTCTGCCCGAGCCACCGACCATTACTGGCGGAGCTGTATACAGAGTTGTAGGATCTGAGGCCACCACCACAGTTCGCTCTCCGAGTGGCACGTCATTTTCACTTGGTGAAGGAGAGTATCTAGATATTGATGTTAACTCTACCACAGGGTCATTGTACATTGAAGCTGACAGACCAGTCAGTGTTGTTCAGTTCACACAGAAACTAGCATCAATGGCGATCGTTCCACCAACGAGCTTATTTGCTTATGACTATGACATTTCAAAACCGGTCTTCAACCCGACTTATGACCTGCATAGTGCGTACCTTACAGTTATTGTCCCAACAGATAAGGTTATTGGTTTACGTCCACAGATATTTCCACAATTCACGGTAATCAAAGGAAGCTGCTTCTCTGTGGCTTCAGTGGAGCTAAGGACAGGATTCTACAGACTTCTTCACGTGGACGGTGTCCCATTTGGAGGGATGATGTACCTCAAACCGAATTGGGGCAATATTGGTATTTTCACTCACCCTATTGGGTACAACCTCACAGATGACACAGGCAAGTATTTAGGAATTACCATGTCCTCTCTATCCATTTTTGACTGCACTCTGGGATGTCTTCATATAATAAAGAGGCTTTTTATCCTCACGATTGCCTTTATATTTCGACCAGAATACTATGACAACATAACGCATGCATCCATCTGTTGATTCTTTTATTTCTATCCCTATTACAAGAGTAAATAATATAATTTTACAACATGATATGGTCAAAATCTGCACCAGTATTATTCAATGACAGCTTGCACTGTAATTGGACTTCCTCATGGCCCTAACAGTGGTTTATTGCTCACACAACGTTTCATTCTTTAGTGTGATTTAGTGTGATTTATCAACATCTGAGGCGCACGTTTGGTCCCAATAATAAGCAATTGTTTGGAATACCGTTGACGAAGATAAAAGGGTACATCAAGGTGTAGAATTGCAGACAAACTACTTCTAATTTTAAAACGTCTAATGAAGCTGGGCACAGCCATGTATAATTTCAAAGTAAACACATATGGACTTAACATGTACTGTCACACAAAAGGTTCACCATGCTACTTCCTTCTTTTTTTCACAATAGTTAAACTCGGCTGTTCATCTTCTGGGATATGCTCTGATGGTACACCATATCCTTGCTCTTGCAGTAAAGGGTACTTTGTATACCAGTGCGATGACTGTAAGTGGTATCAGCAGTTGAACATTATTCTTTGCTTGTGCTATTTATTAAGGTTAAAAACAACGGATAGTACAACGTTTTAACTTTAATCATTATGTTCTACTGACAAAAATAATGGAACTGATGAAAGTGGTAGTGAAGGTTTAATGACAATAGATGTGTGTAATTTCGGGCGTGTAGATCAATATCTAGTGTGTCCACCATGTTGAGCTATACTCGATTGATTGGTTGGTTGGTTTGTTGTTTAACTCAGCAATATTCCACCTATATGACGGCGGTCTGTAAATAATCGAGTCTTGACCAGACAATCCAGTGATTAATATCATGAGCATCAATCCACGCAATTGGGATTGATGACGTGCATCAACCAAGTCAGCGAGCCTGACCACCCGATCCCGTTAGTCGCCTTTTACGACAAGCATAGTCGCATGGGTTGCTGAAGACCTATTCTACGGTAATCTTAACGGGTCGAGAGCTATACTCGACGACACCTTGATCGGTACTGATCCTACAGTCGAGGAATTACTGTTCGGTTTGACACACATTCGGATATTGACGTCACCCCTCTATCGTGCCAAAATTTCGTATTTTGTCTGTTCATTGTCTCGGAGGCATTTTAAGCGTGTGCTTTATAGCTCATGATCAATTGCATTAGGGATTGTGAGTTTCCCTATAAGCGCACACACTTTGGCTTCTCTGTGTACGTGCATACAAATGACATCAGTCAAGATATTGTGACGTCATATCAAAGCAAACTATGTATGGTGTATATGGTGTATGAATTCTGATTGTCACGTAGCTGTGAATAGATGTACGTCATACATCTGCAACACGGTGATTTTGCTCGTCTGATATTATATACTGCACCTTTGCAATCAGCGTCTGCCGGCTGCAACAATGACCCCTGTCACTACAACAGCAGCTGTGAGGACCTGGACAGCACGTACATATGTGACTGTGTGAATGGATCGGGAGGAGCTCACTGTGAGATTGGTAAATATGAAATCACATGCCTCGGAATTGATAGGACTTATTTTTAGTTTTTTAGTTTACCTAAACTTCTTTTCAATGATCCGTTCATGTAGTTTTCACTTCTGGTTTGCCTTTTACACCTAGTGAAGTCTGTTTCGGCATATAATCGAGATTGATTATTCTGCGTTTCATTTTTATAGTGATATACTCTGAACGTCCAGTTGCTCAAATGTCAACAGTAAAACTTTAAATGGAGATTTTATATCTGATGAAGTTATGATAGCAGTAAGAGAACAAAAGAGAAATAAAGCATCCGGTATTGATTTTATAGAAAATGATTATTTTATTGATAGTATTGATTTATTAACCCCTTTGTAAGTTGAACTAATTAACCTGATATTTGAAAAGGGTATACTTCCAGCATCTTGGTTAGTGGGAATAATTAAACCGATTTACAAGAAAAAAGGTGACCCACTTGATCCTAACTCGTATAGGCCTATCACTATCCTTAGTTGTTTTGGAAAACTATTCACCAGAATTGTAAACAACCGTTTGACTAATTTCTAAGTTAAAAATAATATTCTAACACCTGCTCAAGCAGGATTCAGGAAATCTTCCTCAACTGCTGACAATATATTTGTAATTTATATGCTTATGCGAATATTAGGAAATAATAAACAAACATTACACTGCGCTTTCATAGACTTTACTTAAGCTTTTGACACTGTTTGGCGGGTGGGATTATGGAGGAAAATGCAGACTATTGGCATCAAAGGTAGATTTCTTACGTTAGTTCAAAATATGTATAAAAATATTAAACCGTTGATACAGTGTGATGATAAAATGTCAGGTTACTTTCCTTGTAATATAGACGTCAGACAGGGAGAAAACCTATCCCCTGTATTATTCTCAATTTTCATAAATGACGTTGAAACCTTCCTGCTTTCATCTGGGTGTGGAGGAGTTAATCTCAACTACGATGAAGATATTTTTAAAGACTTAACTGAATGGATCCAATTCATAATTTTATTGTATGCAGATGATGCTGTATTATTTGATGAATCACCAGAAGGCTTACAGAAAGCCTTAGACACTTTTAATGAATATTGTGAAGATAAAACCCTAGATATTGTCGACACTTATACGTATTTAGGAATTGTACTTCACAGGAATAGAAAACTAGTATCAAGTCTGAAGTCCCTCATGATCAGTGATAATGCATTGAAAGCAATGTTTTGACTGATAAAAAAATCAAGGAATTTAAATTTACCCTTCGACTGTGTATTATCAGCTTTTGATACGATGGTATTACCAATATTAACTCATGGTTCAGAAATCTGGGGCTTTGAAAATTTAGATATTATAGAAAGAATACACCTCAAATTCCTCAGACTTATCACAGGATTAAGAAATTCAACTCCTCTTTATATGATATATGGCGAATTAGGTAGGCTGCCATTAAGAAGAATAATTTGTAAACGAATGATATCTTTCTGGCACAAATTAAGATATCAAACTGGTGTGTATAAACTTTCAAAGCTGTTATATCAATATTTGTCAATTAATAGGAATAAGACTATTGCATCAACAAATCCCTGGGTTAGATGTGTTATGGATATACTAGACAGTATTGGATTATCTTATGTATTTAACAATCCGGCAATTTGCACAACAAAGTGGCTCGTATAGCAAACACTTAAAGATCATTTTTTTCAGAAATGGAGAAGTGACGTTAATTCTAGTTCTAAAGGATTATATTATAAACATTTAAAGGACACTCCGGTTCTCGATAAATATCTTCTATTGCCAAAACGAATATCAATTCCACTACTACGATTTCTAACCTGTAATCATAGTTTACCTAATGAGACTGGCCGATGGAAAAATATTCCAAAGGAAAATAGAACCTGTATATTATGTAATTCTCCATCTATTGCTGATGAATTTCACTACTTATTCAGATGTATTTTTTTAAGAGAGCGGCAAACATTTCTCTCATCATATTATACTGAATGGCCAAATATCATAAAATGTGTAAAACTCTTATCAACAACAAACACACAGGATCTAAAGAATTTATCGAGGTTTTATTGTAAAAACGTCCATTAGTATTAAAAATGCTAGGTAATCACATGTTGTTATTAACTGCCATCTTGTCTCCTTTTTTGTACATATGCATAATTATTTATTGTAATATGCTCTTGTACCCCCTTTTGTGGTTTTGAGAATAAACTGATTCTGATTCTGATTCTGTAACGTTGAAATGGTAATTCTTAATCCCTTTCAGCGTAATACGTTATCAGTTGTATGTGCATATATATATATATGTATGTATGTATGTACATGTATGTGTGTGTGTGTGAGTATATATATATATATATATATATATATATATATATATATATATATATAGAAAAGGTATGTAATACTTACTGGCTGTATAATGTGGTTCCATGCGACCTTTTCTATATCCGAATTATACTCGAGTGTTGACTGTAATCAGAGTGTGGTGATGATGCAGCTTCACTAAAGTCAGTCCTCTTCTTTCATCCAGACATTTACAACCATTGTGAGAACAATACGTGCGTAAATGGCACGTGTGTGGATGAAATTGGGGCGTTCTCCTGTAACTGCACAGATGGCTTTACTGGGGAGTACTGTGAAACTAGTAAGTATTGTACCAGTAATGGCATAACCATTCACATATTTAGTAAATACGATTTGTGTTTCGAATTGATACGTTTAAGGTTTGTGTATTTAATATGTCACATCAGGGCTCGATTTAGCTATATATAACTTGAACCAGTGCAACCTTATATTGGAAAATGCAATCTAGCATTTATGTCTGCATGCACCAAGTCCACGTAAAACGAATCAAAGGTGTGTCTGACTAACCCTTACTTGTCCACACAACAACGATCTTTGAACACATTCACTACCTCTGTGGGTTTTTGGCAATACTACATGTACATCACTTATTGTCGTGTTATGTGTTACCCATGCATCTATGTTTCATCTTGGATAAATTTATGGAACCAGGGTGAAGCATGGTTATGTCAGGTGCAACAGGTTTTTTTCATGTCAACATGTACATGTACCTGGTGCAAGTTAAATCTAGTTCCTTAAGTTGAGCTCTGCATATCTGTCGTACAAATGCGTTACGTGTCGATTCCTCAATTGAAACATGTTAACCAAGAAATCTGTACCTAAACGAATTTAGTGTGAAAATATAAAATACATCCAAGAAATGGTGTAAAATCAACAAATATATTACAGAATCCACTAGGTTTACACATCAATACAAATTAGTGCACAATAATTACAATGGCAGTACACAATAGAGCGGTAGTACAATATTCAATGGCAATATATAATATGATGACAGTGGTCAGTATCAAAAACAAAACGCGGCAACAGTGGTCAAGCTTCCGAGACGGGACCAGGCAGATCATCCGGGTGATATGTGATCTTCACACGAAAGCTGGTCATGATGTAATGTAGTGTGTGAAGGGATGATCTAGCCACGCCTTCGTCGACGAGTCAGGATCAGACAATCCAGTGATTGACATCATGATCATCGATCTATGCAATTGTGATATGGTGACATGCATCAACCAAGTCACTGAGTCTGACGACCCGATCTAGATCTTACGACAAGCATGGGTGGCAACATTTGTAAAAGAAATTAAATTGTCAAGAAAAGGTGTTTTTTGTACTTCAGTTGCAAAGTCTAATGTTCTTTGCACTACTTTTTATGCTGTTTACCTTTACCTGATAGAACTGGTTATTGACATATTTTCATTATTTTCTATTTTCTTTGTCAGACATAAACGAATGTGCACATGGTCCTTGTGTTCACGGAACCTGCATGGATGGAATTAACAACTACACATGCATCTGTGAACCCGGATACACAGACCTGGATTGTTCTACGGGTGACACATATGTTGATTTGATTTTATGGCAAAAGATTTCAAATTCAGTTACAAGTAAGCTTGAAGAAATATTAAAGTTTTGTTCATAAACGAATGATATTGTCATCGTACACATACATATTCCTTTCAGACATTGATGATTGTGCCACCGTACCTTGCCAAAACAGTGGCATTTGTCACGACTTCGTCAATTATTTCAACTGCTCATGTACCCCTGGATTCATCGGATTACTGTGTGAAACAGGTATTTCTCATTATGTTTACATTATAAATAGCATAGCACCTTTAGATATCGATTTGTGGGTAGGTCTGTAATGACATGGCGGTGGGATCACTGTGACTGCTCGAACGCCACGGCATATTGTCCAAGGAAGGGTCACTGGTGAGTACTGCCGTGACATCATACTGGCGCAATTACTTGGGCCGTTGCACGTCATGCTGGTTTTGTCTTTTACGTGTACGTATCGCAACTGACAAACATCAAACATCACCAGAAATCAGTGGCCAGCCATGAGTCCTGACCTTTTCCCCGTAGTGTACGTTTGGGACATAATCTGGAGATGTCAAAGGCCACCCGTTACGTTAGCCAAACTGGGACAGGCGCTGCAAGAGTAGTGGACAAGATTCCCTCAAATTGTCATCGTGAGATTCATTCGGACCGTGCCACGCCGTGTCAACGAATGTTTGACCAAGCGTGTGGGCATGACCCATTATTGATCATGTCATTTTAAGCGTTCATTGTTTAGTACAAACCCTAACAGGTTCTCTGGAAGGTCATGTTACAACTAGTCCTTCAATTTTCTTATCCATCCATTACTATCACTCGATACGATTATTTCTGTAATCATCCGGGGGGTTTCCAATATCACCTTCTTTTTGGCAGAGTATACATAAATGCCTTGTATATTATTAATAACGTATATTGCTAATATTTTTTAATGTTCACATCATTGGCTGCGAACTTATAGTGTTTCTATTTTTGATTGCTTTAGACATGGACGAGTGTTCCAGTAACCCGTGCGTGAATGGCACCTGCAGTGACCAGCCCAACATGTACAAGTGTACCTGCACACCTGGATATGAAGGGGTCAACTGTGACGAAGGTATGTCTGTTTTACGTCATTAAGTCACCTCTGTTTAATTCATTATCGCAACATGCTCTGATGAATAAATTATTTCTTGACAACGTTAAACCTGTCAATCCATGATGTATAAAGAGAATACATTATTTTCATATATACTTCGTTTCAATTGTAACTGATGAAGCATTTAATGTATGCCAATGAAATTTGGTACACGTCAATGTTGAGACGGGGCTGCGATCTGGAAAGATTGTAAGTAACCTACATGTATATGTTACGGTCAATCTGTGCAACTGCCCAATAGACAGTGACTCGTATGAGTTTTAAAATCTTGTTCACAGAAGTCAAAAGGACAAAGTTATTTTATAAGGATCTATTCACCGAGCTATTTACAAAGATCTGTTCACTGAATTGTTTTCACTCACTGATGCATCAACATTAAATCAAACATTACTATCTATATGGTTTCTTAACTGCTGTAAAACACAAATAAAATACGGCTCGAAAATAATACAAATGTAGACTTATATCTACTCACAAAATTGTATTTCCTTCTTGCACTCACTGGGTAAACGGCCTACCCAATGCACGCAATGGGCAGTTGCACAGATTGGGTGTAACATAAAATCGTATCATGTATAACTCTATAATAGCCTTTGGAAGTCATTTTTGCACATTGATATGTCATATCTCGGATCAGTGTCATCCTCCAGGTCACTGAAACTTGATACATGTCATCTGGGACGGGGCCCCAAGTCTAAAAAGGTTGCGCGAGTGATATGTCAACTTACGGTGAAGGTCGTCCCTGCCATTTTAACTGAAATGTTAATTTCTGCAAATTTATTTTTATAATTGTATGCATGTATATCATTTGAAAACTTGGGTAACGACAAGCTTATGTTTATTTGTTTCGGTCCCTGTGACCTACTTTCAATGAGGAGCATATGCTATGTTACGCTGAATTCCATCTGGGGACATCAGATAGGGCGTACACTGAAATTCATGTTCACTTTCACGATTATGCAGTAATATTGTAATATTTACGTGATAAAGCGAGAGGTGTTGGCTGTAGCAGGATCTAATTTGGTACATATCATTCTTAGAGTGGGGCATTGAATTTGTCAGATTTTGAGGGACCTTTACTGAAGGTCAAAGTCACAGGAATAGTCCGTCGTAAGTTATTTTGGCTTCTTTGTGTACTGAACCGGCAGCTCTATGTGATTGTTTGACATGCATGTAAGAGCTTGCATCAGTTCTGCAACCACGTTTTAGACGAATAATCAAGTATATGGTTGGCTGAAATTGAGGGTCAAGGTAATTAAACTACAGATGCATATAACCTTATTATGGAGGTACGAGTGCCTAGATGCATGTGACTTTACGTTTCAAAAATGTCTTAGATATTCGAGCATCTGTATGACAAGGGGGTAAATTCAACAGTCCAAAAGTCAACTTTCCCTTTCCGTCGAGCAATATTAGTGGCAACAGTGGCTTGATGTGACAAATTGATGTCGGAAGCAATTCCCTATTCTCACCTGTACCATATGTTCCCGTGGTCCTTTTTCAGGTGAACAATTGACTTGCCTCTGCATGTGTGTGTGACGGGTGACCCCGGTAGGGCAAGATACACTCAACTTTTCGCGAACACCTGGTATCGTCACAATTTGATAGTGAATCACAACAAAACACGCTCATGATATATTCAGAATCGAACAAAAGACTTTTGTCGCTTTTGTGTTGTAGAGATCAACGAGTGTGCAACGAGCCTATGTGTGCACGGTACATGTGTCGACCACGTCAACAACTACACCTGTATCTGCGAACCTGGATATACAGACTGGAACTGCAGCACAGGTGAGAAGTCCTTTCTTTCTAATGTTGACAAAACTAAATTTAAATTATGCCCCATATGATCAATAAGAAATATAATGGCGTTATGAAATACATTAATATTTAAAGAAAATATGTTTATGTACTGTTATGAGAACACTTGCAATTTATTGACTGATCCCCATCACACAAATGTTTCTTTATTTTGTTTGTTGTTTAACGCCGCACTCAGCACTATTACAGCTACATGACGGCGGTCTGTAAATAATCGAGCCTGGACCAGACAATTCAGTGATTGACATCATGAGCATCGATCCACGCAATTAGGATACAATTACATGCATTAACCAAGTCAACGAGCCTGACCACCAAACCCCGTTAGCCAACTTTTACGGCAAGCATGGGTTGCTGAAGACCTATTCTTTGTCCGGATCTTCGCGTGTCCATCACAAAATTGATAGTTGGGTCAAGGTTGACTGTAATGTTTTGAAATGCATCTCATCTGTATTAATGACCTACTGCCTTTGAACAGTAATGTACACCAAAGCACAGGTACATATCCAACATCATTCCACCCTATATGTACAAGTACTTAAACTTGTGCCCTGTCCGTTTGTTTGGGAATTAAATCCAATCTACATGTAAATGCATTTCGGTTATAAATATGACTTGTAGATATCGACGAGTGTGCAACAAACCAATGTGTGAATGGTGCATGTGTCGACCACGTCAACAACTACACCTGTGCCTGTGAACCTGGGTATACAGACATGAACTGCAGCACAGGTGAGAAGTCCTGTCCCTCTAAAGTTGACAAAACTAAATTTAAATTATGCCACTTTTGAATAAGAAATATTTGTGTCGATAAGAAATCCATTGGTATATACATTGATTGTTTAATACCTGATGTAACTGTTTGTAGATATCGACGAGTGTGCAACAAACCCATGTGTGAATGGTGCATGTGTCGACCACGTCAACAACTACACCTGTGACTGTGAACCTGGGTATACAGACGGGAACTGCAGCACAGGTGAGGAGTCTTTTTCAAGACGTCAACCGTTTCTTGCTCAAACTTTGTTTCATCAGAGTTACATCATTCAAGTCCTTAGAAAAGTTTTCAAAATGTTTTAGGGGAGCCAAGTTGCGGAATTTCCAAATTTGACACATGAGTGACCAAAACGAAGTCCGATGGAATTCCTTATTGTACCATGTAATCCCGTGAGGTTTTTTTCAAATGAACAATTGATTTGGTGTCTGTGTGTCTGTGTGCCACCGATTGGTCATGAAACACTAACCTTTTCGCAAACACCTGGTCTCATCACTATTTGATAGTGAGATCAGAGATCAAAGAACAGAAAGACATGTTTAGCAAACACCGTATTCATCCATATTCACCAGTTGTTCTGATGAATACATTCCTGACATTCGTAAGTGTATAACGTGTATGTTCAATATTTAGGACGACTATTCCAGCAGATACCAGACATGTAACTTCCGTCACTAACTGACACGCTGTGATATAATTAAATGCTGCGTTAAGCCCACTTCACCCACTCTCTCCCATTTTCAATATTTCAGACATAGATGAGTGTTTCAGTAACCCGTGTGTGAATGGCAACTGCAGTGATCTACTTAACATGTACGATTGTACCTGCGCACCTGGCTATGATGGGATTAACTGTGACACAGGTGAGATCAATTCTCTGCATGCATTTATGATTCTTAATCCAAATAGCTACGTCGGCATCTCAATATTATGCAGAAAATATAGGTATTGATAATGTCCTTCTTTTTGCCAAAAGTTAGAAAAACGCATTGAGTTGGAGTGACCATTCGAAAACGCTATTTTAATTGATTTTGTGTTACATATAATTTGCGTGTGAATAGAGACATCACATGTGAATTTCTACATTAACCTGGCGTCGAATTTGTGGTATTCTAGCGTTACCACAAACGTGCACATGTATCCGAACCTCCGTACTAATAAGGTTGCTTGATCAGAGTTGCAACATTCAATGTGTCAGTTAGGCTTTCGAGGGGTTTCATGGTTGTGTTTCATCGTAGAAGTGTGTGGCGTATCGTTAACAATAAAATGATTTCCGGGTTTCTTCAGGTGAACAATTGACTGTCTTTGTGGCGGGTACCACCGGTGAGGCAGGATACGACCACCTTTTTCGCGGACACCTGGTATTTTCACTATTTGATTAACACATAATTAGGATGTAGTCGGAATTGTACAACGGACTCTTATGGAAATGGTTACTGTCGCCGGTATTTGGTTAAACCACGGCGCGTGAGCCTAATGTTGGAGGGATGCCTTGAAGTGAGACATTTTCTTCTTCAGCTAAAACGCCTGAGGGACACGAATCTGCACAGTGACGACTTGGCCATTCGTGCCCTTTTTGTCTTTGCGTTTAATTAAGAATGATACTTTTATATGAGAACAACACATAAAATCGGGGGTGGAGGAGGCACCAGCTGTCCTAAAGGGCGAGGGCATAAATCCGCTAAGGAAGAAATAAAATGGCTATACTTTTATTGTAGACATAGACGACTGTTTGAACGGACCATGTCGAAATGGAGGAACCTGCAACGACTTCACAAACTCCTATAATTGTTCCTGTGTGCCTGGCTTTGGGGGCACTGACTGTGAAACAGGTAACATCTAATGCTGTTCGTATGTGTGTACACGCTCGGCTCATTCACCCACTCCTAATTTGATGACACTATGATTTACTGTTTCTGGTAGAATTTCGCGGAGCCAACTTTTTTAATGTTTTCTCCCTTGATCTTTCCGTTTCTAGCCATTGATGCCTGTGCAGGGAATCCCTGTCAAAACAGCGGAACATGTACACAGTCATCCGGCGGTTTCACCTGCTCCTGTCCAGCTGGTTTTATGGGGGACACGTGTCAGACAGGTATGGTTGTTGAACTGAACACACTTGAAATACACAGGCAACATGGTGTAATGCACCACAATATTATACATAAGAAACACATTTACATCAGATGCTTACCCAGCAAACACACTACATTTTGTCAACGGTGATGTTAAGGATTGGTAACGTTGCGATAATTATAACGTTTTCACAACCCTTTCCATGTCAATAAGACATCTCTGCCAAAAGCAGAGTCGATTGTCGATCGATTGATCTATGCAACCTTCAATGCAGATATCAAAGAAAGTAAACGTGCATTCATTACGACTGTAATCAACACTATATGGATTGCCATGAGTGCTTGTTGGTTGTTTGGTTTTTTGTTTAACGCCCCACTCAGCAATAATCCAGCTATATGACGGTGGTCTGTAAATAATCGAATCTGGACCAGACAATCCAGTGATTAATATCATGAGCATCGATCCACGCAATTGGGATCGATGACATGCATCATCCAAGTCAGCGAGCCTGACCACCCGATCCCGTTAGTCGTCTCTTACGACAAGCAAATTCGCCATTTACGGTAAGCATGGGTTGCTTAAGACCTATTCTACCCCGGATCTTTACGGGTCGGGAGTGCTTGTAATGCACAAGAATCATGATATAGTGTGGATGTAAAGACGTAATTCCTTCGTTTTGATATGTTCTGCACCCTGTCACGACCAAAGTAATATGTATTACCTACTCTACTTAATACAAAATATTAAAATTGATACTTTCAGATATTGACGACTGTGCTTCTAACCCTTGTCAAAATGAAGGCACATGTACAGATCGTATCAACGCATTTGAGTGTCTCTGTCCTGCTAACTTTAGTGGCCTACTGTGTAACATCCTAATGAGCTGCACGTGCCCTTGTCGACTGAACAGTAGCATTGACAGCAATGAACTGGCCGCAAAGATCAAATGGCTCAAAGCATTACTAACCGTCGACAAAAGTAAACTGTCCAGCGCATTACGGAAAAAGATCAGCGTTCCGGATGAAAGGCCTTCAGCATCTGGAATCGGATTCAGTGGAATATGCTGTCTTGTTGCCGCCTTTGGATTCTTCTTGATTATGGACTGTATTAATGTTATACAATTTTTAACTAGACAAAAGGATCCTGAAAAAACACTCAACGTGAAGTAAAGACCTAAGAGTAGGACATAACGGCAAACGACATTTGAAGGCAGAGAGATTTGTACTTGTGTTGCTGTGATTGATCTTACAGAATACTCATGGCATTCTTTTCTATTTATTTAGTTCGTTCAGAAATATGCCCAAAATAGTTTGTTGTCAGTGATGAAAAAAATGAATAATTTATTTTGTGGAAAATACTCAAACGTCAAAATGTTTGTGTTAATAGTGAAAACTACCATATTGTGTGATGGTGTATGGTAAATATATGATTTGTTGAATACAGCTGGGAACAAAAGGTTAAGAAAACAACATAAATTATAAACATATGCTGCCTCAGTAGAAGACAGTCTACTGACCACTGCGAACATGTGTATCGTCATTCACACACACACTCCTTGTCACATAATGTCACTCCAAAATATGTACTTTTATCTCTCACAAACGGTATCTAAAAACTGAAAGTATTCCTGGAACGTGCGCTTTAATGTATTACGGTACACAGTCAGTGATTACCATATAGGCAAAAACAGTATTGCCCACAGATATTGTTTTCTTCTTTGCCAGTGAGCGCCTTTCGCGACAATCCGTCTATCATTCGCCCGCTGGAGTGCCCTTTATCAAAGGGAAACTACTCCAGCATGTAAAACCTCACGTTCTTTTAGAGTCTGCCTGGCCTTGCGTAACATTTCTTAACGGGATTTCGAAATGCAGTCAAATATGCCAGCGACAAAATGAAACAAGGTCAACTTTCCGACCTATTTCGGTCAAAACTGTTTTTAATTCGGGGATAAACGATTTTAGGTATCTTAGACTATTATTCTGATAATGATAGCAATGTTCGTAGTAATTAGTCGCCGATAGAAGAGGGGATGTTATATGGGTTTGTAACCACTGAAAGTAATACCTACCTGTCCATTTATGTTTGCATTTCTCATCCGTATATGAGACGGTACCGTTTTTAGCCGTTGGCTGTATCCTGCCGAGAAACTTACCCATTGTTAACAATGTTTGTCACATACAATGTAGCTTTTCCACATGCACCGCGTATGAATAGCAAGACAGGCTTATAAACTCAAAATGACAATGATGTACGTTTTACTACGTCTACATTTATCTCACATACTACATACGCATCTGTCACTGTTAAGTGTCACATGTCTTATTTGTTTCAATTTCCAACATTTTATGAATGCACTGGCATATGTAAGGGTTTGATCTCTTTGAATCAGCATTAAGTTAATTTGAAACACATCACATAAATTCATGATCATTTTCTGGATAGAATCATGCGAACTTTAAGCAACCATACTCCACTTTTGATGTAAAATAACACAACGTAGAAACCACATAGACACCAACCAATCATTTACCATCCCATTCCTTTTATGCCTTTTTATGTAATTATTCGATCGTTTGCTTAGTTTGTACTGATAGAGGATGTCTAATTCATTGTTAAATACTTGAAACTGTTTTCTTGCAAATTCATTTCCTGGATAGAATCATGCGAACTTTAAGCAACCATACTCCACTTTTGATGTAAAATAACACAACGTAGAAACCACATAGACACCAACCAATCATTTACCATCCCATTCCTTTTATGCCTTTTTATGTAATTATTCGATCGTTGGCTTAGTTTGTACTGATAGAGGATGTCTAATTCATTGTTAAATACTTGAAACTGTTTTCTTGCAAATTCATTTCCTGGATAGAATCATGCGAACTTTAAGCAACCATACTCCACTTTTGATGTAAAATAACACAACGTAGAAACCACATAGACACCAACCAATCATTTACCATCCCATTCCTTTTATGCCTTTTTATGTAATTATTCGATCGTTGGCTTAGTTTGTACTGATAGAGGATGTCTAATTCATTGTTAAATACTTGAAACTGTTTTCTTGCAAATTCATTTCCTGGATAGAATCATGCGAACTTTAAGCAACCATACTCCACTTTTGATGTAAAATAACACAACGTAGAAACCACATAGACACCAACCAATCATTTACCATCCCATTCCTTTTATGCCTTTTTATGTAATTATTCGATCGTTGGCTTAGTTTGTACTGATAGAGGATGTCTAATTCATTTTTAAATACTTGAAACTGTTTTCTTGCATGCAACGCATCGTGTTACATGAAAAAGAAAGATGTACGGCGATTCCTGTGTGGAAGCTGTGTCCAGGTGTTTGCTGCATCGTCGACATACCTGTAATCAGTCAACTTTACAATTTGTATATATCACACATTTTCAATCTCTATGTTTGGTATAAAAAAAAACATTTTGTGTCATTTTGTAATAAATGATTATCAGCAGCGAATATTGAGTTAAATATGTATGATCCGTAGATCGTAGCTTCTACAATGTATTACGTACCTCTTGTCTAAGATATCCACCTAACACTGGCCTTGCCGATCACACGAAACGACATCAGGTCAACCACCTTCACTTGACGTGAAAAAGCGAATCGATTTGAAAGAAAAATGTAATACCTCTGTGAAAATATTGACAATGATATTTGGCGTCATTCCAGATATATATTGTATTCCACTTTCACAGTTCTGCTATAACTTTATTATATTTAAAATGTCGACGTTTAATTAGGTTATATAGCTATATAACTATGCATTAGTACTGGGTATAAACTCCTGTCTTATCCAATCCATCAAATCTTGATAAATTTAAATCTATTACTCCGTTTCTTTTATCTTAGTGAGAAGATCAGACAAATCCTCTATAGGAATTCAGCTTCATGTCTTTACAAAGTAGAGATAATTTATGGATAACAACTTGAATATTTTCTGTTAAGGCGACGTTTCGGTGTAGATCCTTATGCCGTTGTCAAGCAAGTTGTTATCCATAAATTGTCTCTAACTTGTCATCCGTCAACTTCTTAGTAATGCCTATCAAACAATTCATGTCTTTACCAACTCAATTCGAACATTTCCATCTTAACCAAAGAAAACCGACCCAGAACAGAACTATTCGCTTGTACACACTTTCGGTTACAAATGTAGTGGCGCTAAGAAAAGAGAAAGTATTTGTAAACATCCACAGCAACATGAAAGCCTGGCCTTTTATGTCTTCCTTTAAAAACTACCAGTTTGACGTAATTACGAGAAAATTAAACTGCAGAAACGCTGTAGTTAACAGATAGCTATGCAATTACAATGAGATACATATATTACTTTTTAATTATGCGATAGCAAAGTCGTAATTACGAAAACTGAAGTCGTATTTACGGGTGAGCTACTTTGACTTTAAAATAGATATTTACAAATGGAATTTCCCGGCTACGCTGCATCACATATGTTGCTGATATATATAGTATTACCCTATATTGATGGGATGTATACCTTATGACCATGGAATATTCTGGAGGGGGCGGCGGCGGGGCTGGGATTTTGTCTGGATATTAGATACGTTTTTCAGCTAGAGCTTTAAAACCAGATATTTTTTTAATTAAAACTGTGAACCTGAATATTTTTTAAAAGAAGAACACCTTGCAACAATGTAACTTTTGTTGCAGACAATTTCATTTTTTTTCCGATAAAATCCCCATCCCCCTGCACAGAATATTAAATGGTCGGTCCCTTAAAAAAACATCTTGCAATGAAGACATTTTATTTTTAGCTGATGCAAATTCATGACTGTAGTACTATTTCGAAGACAAATATACTCTTTGGTGAAACGACGCTCATGTCACGCTACGTTGATCAGTTCAATGAAATATGTTCTTAAATTTTCAACGGAATACAAAACCTCATTTCCGCTTTCTAGAAACTATTGTCGGCAAATGTAAACACGTTCAAACCTTGACCTGAAAACTGTCAAGGTATATAAGTAACACGTAGCTATGGGAGGTTAGTCATTTGCAGTTTCAATGCGTTCGAAGATGATAATGGTAGTGTACACAATGTCATGTGTATACAATACCCTGCATGGGTGTATTTGAGTCCACTATAGCTGTATCCAGCCACTAATCAATTACATACAATGCAAGCTTACAGGTGGACACTCCTGCTGCATTAATCGGCGTATATATTGTCGTATATTGATCATTTTATCACAACCAAATTGTAAAACACAATGGCCATGATATTGAGCTTAATAGATCCTTCCATGTTCCGGACATATGAAGGTTCTTATGGGAGGCGGAAAATGGCCATGATATTGAGCTTAATAGATCCTTCCATGTTCCGGACATATGAAGGTTCTTATGGGAGGCGGAAGTTTTAACAAGTACAAAAACATTATGTTTTATGCAAATGCTGATGAGTCAAACTAAATAATAAATCTATATACATCACCCATATATACAATCAGGACATTGCAGCAATGCATTAGTGTTGGATCGATGTAGGTGTGCTAGATGGGATGATTATTGTTTTATGAAGGGTTCGCAAGAATATTGGATTTGAACTCATGATCATTGGAGCCTAACACGACAAACCGAGGCAAGTCTGTACCACGATTGGAGCATATTAAACCGGAGGCCACCTTCGAGACCCAGCCCATGCAAACAATGTCCATTGAGTTTATTATAGTTATTGACATTGCTTTAACACATCGTTGCAGGTTGCCGAGGTAACTTAGTGGTGAGTGAGTGAGTGAGTTATTTTGTTTATGCCGCGTTGAACCTTATTTCACTGATATTACGGCGTGTCACTCCGGAATGATGCAGGTCTCGGGGGTTTTCAACTTGGATGAAACCCACGAAGATGAGAAACATAATCAGAGCGAACTGGGATTCGAGCACACATAACGGGTGCAACGCTACACATTGAATTGCGCCGCCTCAGACGATTGACGATTATTATGGAATAATATCACACCATACCTTTCTACAACAGAAAGACAGTTCTATTGACTCGAGGTGAAATGGGGTTTAACGTTGCGTTCAAGATTACTTACATATGCACATGTTTGTGTGCGTGCGTGCGTGCGTGCGTGCGTGCATGCGTGCGTGTGTGTGTGTGTGTGTGTGTGTGTGTGTGTGTGTGTGTGTGTGTGTGCGTGCGTCTCTTGGTGTCACACGGTCGGGGATGGTAATTACAACACCTGGGTAGTAATTCTTAGATATATCACACCTTTACATCAAATTAGCTAGGCCCCATACTAGTATGTAAAGTAATCAGCCAAGAGCATTATGATATTTGCTTGCGAGGCGGCAGTGCGGCTCACAAAATCAATATGGTTTAGAAACATGAACGTGGTCATGAACAGGGTTCGACAAATACGCCGGCCAACTAGACAAATGCTAGTGAAACTTGATCTGGGCCAGTAATTTTATATTTATACTGGACCAGCTGGCTATTGAAATAATATGGTGTACCATTCGCTTTAAGACAGGTTAAAACTCACTCGATCTTTTATTCAGTCAACAAAAGCCGTACATCAACTTGTCTCTGCCAACTACCAATCTTAGTTACCTCCCTTACCGAGACCGTAACCAAGCTCCTCTCAGCGATAGCCCGTTCGGAGAGCTCTCAATACTATTGCTGCCACCAGTCAAAACTCCCCACTGTAATAGGTTGCCACAACCATGCTTGGAGTTGGACTCGCAACCGAATAACCGTTATGTCTACAAACAAGTAGTGACAGTCGTAACGCCGAATACACTTACCGCTTCTAAATTACTTTCTTTGTTTGTCAATGTGAATTTCTGTTTCATTAAAACTATCATGTCATTGACATAGTAAGAATGTAAGGGAGAAGTTGGTTAATTTTTCGTTAGTCTCGAATCTCGAACCAATCTGATTATACAAACAACAAAGTAAATTCATCTGGAAAACATGGTCATGATCAGTCGTAAACCTTTTCAAAATTAACAATGGTGGCATTTCCAAAGACATAAGCAAAAGTTACTACATTTGGGGTTAGAGGGCAAATTTCAAGATTCTTGTAATGGCCGCGCCCACACTGGTGGCAGCGATGTTACCAAGAGTGTAACGAAGGTGTCACGCGCTGGGAAGGAGCTTGGACCGTAACACGATGTATAAAATATCTGTAAACTGGCTATTTATGATCGTGTGGCATGCGCATTCTATGATAACAACTCTACATAGGAAAGTGAGAGACCAGTTGTTAATAACCAATAAATGCCATCGTAGCAAACAGGAAGTGATTAATGTGACCAATCAAATTAATGCTACTTTCTACGCTTCACATACCGGTATTCTGTAGGCTGTGTCTATTCGCACGATATCGTGTACATAAGGATAACAGACAATTTCTCACAATATGCACGACATCGTGTAAATATCAGAACTTTAACACGATATATCGTGTAAATAATGAAACATTTACCATAATATGCACGATATCGTGGGAATAACAGCACACGATACTCACACGTTATGTTATCACGGGTTATATTATTTGATCTATCAGCAGCGATTACGAACATTATATACAAGTACATGTTATCATTGGGGGGTTTCAGATTGTGATGAAAATGATATTTTTGTGAGTTATTTTGCAAAATGACTAAGAATACTGCTGCATTATTTTTGTAAAGAAGTTTTGTTATTTCATGCTACTGTATATTTTATTTGTTTTGGATGTGCGTTTTATGTTCTTTTAGCAAAGAACATAATTCTTGATCATCTTTATCATAACAAAGAAATGTTTTCAGTATGGGATCTTAGTATGTCAAATTATTACGTCGAATACGGCAGGAGGAATATCGGATTCAAACCAACAACCATAAGATCCTGGTAGGGCTGGGACTAGTCAATCGGAGATCGTCCATGTTGGACAAATGATGGACGTAATGTCCGAGATAGAGATTTAAAATCAACTGTCTGAAGCAGGTGGCTACAAATCATCTCTTATACGTTAGGTCTACTTATGCCTACAGTGACAAATGTCTGCAAGAGTTGTTGTTTTAGTGTACACACTGTTTCACTCAAGTGGTCTACTCTACTTAGTGTTCACTAATGCCATTTTTAATATATATGAAAACAATTAATTAAAAAAACATAAAGAACACTTTTGCCATGTAATATTACGACGATACGTTCATTGTTTATCAATAGATTGTAAGTTACGAACACAGCAGAAGCTATCTACCTCAGCAAACCTTTATATCTTCACAGATGTTTAGAGAAGAAATTACAATTTTAACAACAAGTAAAGAATTTTTATTATCTTTGATATATTTCTTTAGAAACGATGTCCGCACTATAGTGTAGCTGTAATGAAGCGTAGCGCAACTGAGACCGGGAACCAGCTTGTTGTGTAGGAAATTAATAGACCAATCAGCGTTCGCGTCTCACGGCGGAAAAGGGAACTTTCCAGTCGTG